TCTCTCGCTCTCTCTCTATCTCTCTCTCTCTCTCTCTCCCTCTCTCGTATGCGCACACATCCATTCGCCCCATTTCCAGAATAACTTACGTTTCAACGCACTTGAAAACAAAGAGCTCCCCCGAAAATTATACTTCTAAAAATTCTTCTATAGATGCTTCTATTTCGTCCTGAGTACCAAGCACTAGTCTAACATCCACATCTAACTCCTTGCTTCCTCCCACTCCGTTAAAAACCCGCGCTCTAGTATTTACTAAACCCATCCCAGGGAGAGAAGGCATCTATCTGTTGTACCCGTCCCCTTCCCTGCACCATCCACGCGTTCGCACATACCGCCACAACGAAGAGCGGCGCGAAAATTCTTGGCAAGCCAGGTGCAAAGCGGCTCTCCTGCAACGTGCAGCTGCTTGTACTGTACTCTGCCACGCATGGCATACCACATTTTCCCACAAAGTCCAAAAACAACAGAGATAGATCCCCCTGCCCCCTGCACGTGAACCACCAAAAGGCGCTAAGAAGCGCACACCAATGTTTGTTCGGGGAATATATGCTGTTCAGAGTTTTAGCACTTACGTACGTCAATGCACACCACGGACGTTTCGGTATCGAGTCAATTACCACAACGGCGGTTCAGATAAAAAAAGAACACACACAAAAACAAACGAGAGGGGACGTTTTCCCCGTCTTGTCTCCGTGTAGCCGCGGGGCGTCCTCCCACGGGTGCCGGCGCGGCGTTGCGGCGCAGCTTGCTGTGTCCGTCGGATCGCGTCGCATCGAGTCATAATGACAGCATCTGTCGCTCGATCTCGGGGAGCTCCGAGCGGATCTGGGTTCGCGACGAACGACCAAGTCGGACGGGGAAGGGCGAGCGGGACGGGCATCCGGAGGTTGCTTGCGATGCGGTCGTGAGTTTGACAACGGGCAAGGAAAGCCCAAACAAGCGCCCGCACAGGCGTGTTTTACGGTTTTTCACCCCACCACAGGCCTGACGCCTGCTCCATGGCATCCAGTTAGCGCGGTTGATGCCAAGATGAAATACACATACACAACCACAAACACGTCCCTCCATTGGCAAGCCCGTCAGCGCGGTCCACGCTAAAAATGACCAAGCACACGCCCAACACAATCACCCGTTGACGGCTTTTCATTGGCCATCCGATAAGCGCGGTCGATCCTACCAGCCAGGAAACACACACAAACAAAACACGTCCTTTTCGCATCGACCATCCGGCTGGCGCGGTCGATGCCAACCATCAAAAAACAAACACGCACACGCACGCACAACACACCTGGGAGAAGCTTGGGCGAGAGTGGGGGCTCCGATGCCAGCAGCGGCGAATCAGCCTCGCCACAGCCGGCGGCGCGGAGGGGGGGATCTGCGGCCGCAGCCCCTGGCGGGCAACCGAAAACGCCGCTTGCAGCGGCGTCAAACCCTTGAAGGGCTGCTTCCGCGCAACGATTTGCCACAGTACGACGCCTGGTTGTACAGAGAGAGAGAGAGAGAGAGAGAGAGAGAGAGAGAGAGAGAGAGGAGGCAAAAAAAAAACGTGTGCGCTAACGGGTGGGCTGTGTTGCGCTACAGAAGATGTAGGCCAACTGACGTCGATTTGTTGTGTTTCTCGTCAAGACTGCGCTGCAGCATCGACCACAGCTATAGGTGCACACGCGAAGCGCCGCGGCAAAAGAGAGAACGAACAAGGATTCAAGGCTGGAATAGCAAGAAAAGGAATTGCAGATACAGAGGTGGTGATACGAGGATGTTAACGGAGGAAAGGAGAATCAGAACACACCCAACGGTCTTGACGAAAAGCCGGTCGCATGGTACTCCAAATGAAACACTCAACCCGCATGCAAGCACGATTTTGATATGTATTTCCCCTTTACGCCTACTCCCCCAACAATGTGCTTCCCTACGCTCAAGCCCCTCCCCTCTTCTGTTCTCACCGAAGCTGTAGACGTCGGCGGCTTGGCTGTAGGGCTCGTGCCGGATTACTTCAGGCGCCATCCACCTGTCGCATGGATGTTCGGGGCGGCGACACGAGCAGCAGCAGCAGCAAAGGCAACAACAGCAACAGCGGAGCATCTAGAAATTCCGTCGGCGTCGTCGTCGTCGTCGTCGTCGTGTGGGGAACGGGCACCTCGGGCAGTTTTGTGCACACAAGGCGTTCGCATACACAAGCCCCTGCATCGGGCTGCAAACTCCAGCCGTCCGTTCCACCAAGCCACGCGCCCGTACGGGGAGCGCGCAACGAGTGAAACAGCCTGAATTCAGCTTCTCTGTCCCTGGCACCGCTACCGCTATTGGCCATGCTTGAAGAGTCCCATGGGTGGCGCAAATGTAGCAACCGCGGTTGCCGTAAGTCACTTTTCCTCCCTATCAAAAAAAAATAGTACTTCAGAAGTATATGTTTAGGCGGGCGGGGCCATTATGCGAATAGATCGTCGGTGTCTGCCCGAAGCAAAAAAAAGCTCGTGCTTCTACCGCACAAAAACATGGCGTTAGTCTCGTGTGTGTACTGCTGCTGTACACACCTGTACGTTCCCGTCTCAGCCGTGTGGTCGTCGGTCGGATGGCTGAACCGACTCAGCCCAAAGTCGGCGATGACTGCCCTGTCGTCCGCGTCGAGCAGGATGTTGTCCGGCTTAAGGTCGCGGTGCATCACGCCCAACTATTTCATATCAGGCGGAAAGGGTTTGGGGCAGGGGTCGTTGGGGACAAAC